GTTTACTTTTCTATCTGAATCAACAGTCTGAATAACAAAAATAATCAATTTACCCCTGAGGATGAAGAAATGTCATACAAATAATTTTCCAATAGATACAAAAACATAAGAAGCAATGGAGAAGCAAACCAGAAGCTGTGAAATAGAAGGAAACAAAAGCAATGGAGAAGCAAACAGAAGCTTTACAATATGACATTTGGTCAACCAAGAAGCTCCTATATATTGAACTTTTCTTCTATCTTTGACATTCATTTTGACAGAACTTTTCTCCTATTTAGGGTTCTGGACATGAATCATAGGGGTTGTCAAAATCTCTAAAAATCAGACGCAAGGAGAAGCAAAATCGATAGATATAATAGAGAAGTGGTCGGTTATATTTCACACCTCTAGACTAATGAAATTGGGCCAAAAAGCAAGTATACCATACGGCCCAATGTCGTCTTTCCAAGTAATAAGTGGTACAAGTACCGCGTTAGCGTCCACAGGGACTGTAGCCGAAGTTAGATTAGAGTTCAATGAAAGAGATGATTTCAGATGGCGAATTCGAAGACTTTTCTCTGATTTTAAGGTTATCCAAAACAGAATACAGAATAAATAAAAGAAGCAAGGGTGTGAGACCTAATGTGAGACTCAAACACAAATTCCAGCAGCCAATGCTATAGGAATGCTATAGCAAGCAGTGTTCCGAAACTAAGTTCCACTATCTATTTTGAAAGCATTCCTCTCGGACTTCACCATCTCACTATCTTACAGCTTTCCACCCATATCTCTATGTGGTGTCCGGTCCGAAAATAGTGACACAATGGTGCTGTCAAAATATATGGATAAACAAATCTCTTTGTTAAAAATCACTCTCTCGAGCCGATTCCCATATCATTCGAGTTGGCGTGTTCTTGATATTTCATCTCTGAACATATCACACTTTGACACTTTTGACAAGCGACCAACCCGTCGGGAGTTACGTTTTGAAAAACATAAATGACAAGTCTCCTTGTCGGCAACTTTCTCAAGTCTACCTCTTATGTCATCCAAGTTGACGTGCTTATTGATGGCTTATCTCTAAGTCCATCGCACTTTAACACTTTAAAGTGATCAACCCGTCAAGAAATGTGTTTGGTTTTATAAAAACTCGAATGAAACAATGGAACGTCGTTTTTKRAAACACTTAGCTACTTTCGTTCGGTTTGAAAATCTCACATTTTTGTCTCACACCCAAGCTATAAAGACTTAGCTACTCATAACGGAAAGTAAAAAATAAATGACGGAAATTAAAGACATAAATGTAAATTGCGTAAAATAAATAACGAGAAAGTAAATGACGGGAAAATAAATGACAAGAAAATAAATTGCGGAAAGTAAATGACGGAATGTAAATGACAATAATCGTAAAGGAACGTAAAATAAAGAGCGGAAAATGAAAGACGAGAAATTAAAGACGCAAATTTAAAAACTCAAGAACTTGAAGAACTTCACAAAAGATTCTTCACAAATCAGCTCTAACTAGCTGATTTTGAAGTGTAATGTATGTTAATGGCCCTTTAAACAAGTGGGTAAACACTCCTATTTATACAAGGAGTTGAGCACAAAACAACAAAAACATTATCCAAGAGTTAATACCCAAAGTTTAATACAAAAAGGGATCMTATGCTAAATATTATCCATTGGTCCATAACTTTCCAGATTTCTAAAATCTTCCAGCTGGCATCTGGCTGTCTTCCATTCATCATCCAAAAATCAGCAGCTTAATCGTTAAGCCTTTGCCCAACCGTGTGTGCATCAGATGGGTGCTGCTGCAGTGCTGTAGCATTAGGCTGTTTTACAAGAAAATTATCCGTTAGCTTATATTTGCATGCCCCAACAAGTTAAACCACAATATTTTAGCTCCATAACAAAAGTAAAGAGAAATAAACATAAAATGACTCAAAGTGGGAATGAAAGACAACTAATTTAAACTAGAAAGACGTAAAACGGATGCATTATGTGTTGAATTCTCAACACCTATCAAGAAGCAAAACCAAAAGCAAACAACAATATCAGGTGCAATCGATTTCACAGTCTTTTTCAAGTAGGGTTCTTTTCTCAAAAGCAAAATTGATAGTATAGTCGAGAAGTAGTTACCGATTTGAAGCTCGCAATCGATTTCACAGTCGGTTTCAAGTCGGATTCCTTCCTCAAAAACAAAATCGATAGTATAGTGGAGAAGTAGTTACCGATTTGAAGCTCGCAATCGATTTGAAGCAGCTCGCAATCGACTGATGAAGAAGAGACAGGGTTCGTCGACGATAGGCGAGAGGCGTGTGTTTTACCCCTGAGTGTCTTTTTTTGGGCTTAATGTGGACAAGGGCTATTTTTGATCTGTGCGAATAAGCTCATATCTGTGCGAATAAGCCCAAAGTAAACACACCATTTTGGCTGTGCGAATAAGCCCATTTATTGATTAAGCTCATTAAGCCCCAAGTAAACACACCCTTACTATGTTAGTTGTGATTAATTAAAAATTAGAGTAAATTACATTTTTGGCCACAAATGAACTTTCATTCCTTTTTTAAACTAATTGCATTTTTCGTCATTGTGGTTGTTATTTTGTTTCACTTTTGGTCTTTTAAACTAACTTCTGTTAAAAATACCCCATTGAGTTAACGGACCTATTTAACAAAAGTTAGTTTAAGTGATCAAAAGTGAACCAAAATGGCAACACAGTGACTTAAACTGTAATTAGTTTAAAAATGAGATGAGGGTAGATAGTGGATAGCTACCACAGGGACCAAAAATGTAATTTTCTCTAAAATTTGATTTAACTTAGGTAGAACTGTCTCCTTTTCTCCCTCTCTAACATGCATGTATACACAGAATTACTGCAAAAATTTTAAAAAAATACTATTATAATTTGTGAACATTCTAAATCTACGAGATTGGATTTAGCTTGTGAACACCAACTTAAACAACAAAACTAAGGGGGTGTTTGGTTGGGGGACGGTAATTAATAAAAATGATATTTGATTGTATTAGTTTGGTTCAAAAAAGGAATGAAAATGAAATGATTGATGACGTTTGGTTACGATTAATGTAATCAGTCATTATAATAGAAAAGTCCAAAAACCATTCCACTCCAAATTGGGTGGAATGAACCAAATTAATCCATCGCCGCCTCCAACATAAGTAACCTCTCACCGTCTTTAGTTCAATACATTGAAGAAATGGGTCCTCTCGCCATCTTCAGTTCATTACGTTGAAGAAATCGACCGTGTTCCTCATCATGTGGGTTTGTTTCTATCTTCGATTTTGTTCGATATGTTCTATGTGAAACCCTAGATAGATGCTAAAGAAATCAATCGATTTCTTTGTTTCTCATATCCGATTTTCTTCAGTTCAATACGTTGAACAAATCGATCGATTTATTTGTTTCTCATCTTCGATTTTCTTCAGTTCAATATGTTGAAGAAATCGATTGTGTTCTTGATCATGTGGGTTTGTTTCTCGTCTTCCATTTTGTTCAATTTGTTACTTGTGAAACCCTTGATAGAAATCGAATTTGGGTTTTAAGAAGGAATCGGGATTTGGGTTTGTTGATTTTATTTATTCCGATTATGCTTTCATAATAATCGGTTTTCAATTTGATTTTGTTCCCCATCTTCTTTCTCGCAAGTATTAACTCTAGACATTTTTAACCGGTTCTTTTTTAGATTGGTTATTGATTTTTGTTAATCTAAAATTGTTTAACCGTTCATGTATGCATCTTTAAGTGAGGGATCGACCGAATCCGTTTGCTTTGTATTGATGTAATCTCACTTGCAATTATGGTTAATTAATTAATTAAACATTAAGAGAGGGATTAAGATAAACATCCTTTGCCAAAAGAGAGACAATGATGGCCAACAAACATCCAAACCGGTCAATTTTAACCTAGATCCGTCACAAACGACTATATATGAACACCAAGTCAATTAGAATGTGCTTAACAAATAATAGCGGCCAAATACATATATATAGAAAGAGAGAGAGATTGTTTCAAATACAACCTGTTGTAACCCAATAAATTGAGAATTTTATGGAAATGATGAGAGTTCATTTATTATGATTTGAATATTTATGGAAGATGGATATGGTTCATTAATTATGATCAATACTTTATATCAGAAAACAATCAAAACTTCTATAAAATCACATATTAATCAAATGAAATGGACGGTTGAGATTGAGTTGTATTGGTTGCACAAATGTCAAAGGTTGTATAATAATCAACCTCCCCCTCTCTCTCTCTCTCTCTCTCTCTATATATATATATATATATATATATATATATATTGTTGGGATATAATGTAAATTTGTAACCAATAATGGTACGGAAAATTAAATGTTTTGATTAAAAATAAGTTAGATTTTTTTTTAAAATCTAAAACTCAATGTATTTAATTAAAATTACACATCATAGAGTGTTGAGAATTTATGTACCTTTACAAAACTAGTATAAATCTTGACGGATATTTCCTCTATCAGTAATCCACACATGAACATGCTCAGATCTTTCATTGGGTGCTAAATCAAGAACCGTAGATCTATATGTGTATAATTTCTGAAAAGCTAAATTCTAAAAGATTTAATCAATCAGAATTGATTTTTAGCCTAACATTTTATTTATATGGTATTTATATATATAATCATCTTATATTTTAATATAATTACACATATTTACAGATAAAATTCTTTAATTATCATAATTACGTTTCAATACATATTTTCACATTTATCCTTCAAAAATAGTTATATCAACGATCAACTTGATTTAATCCGGTTTCTATAAATAAAATCAAAGATATTCTTTGTGTGCAACCATATAGGTTTACATATTTTCCAACAGTATCTCTACGTAACACGTGTTGCGAAATATATAATACATATATATATATATATATATATATAAGTTACATATATAATACATTTGAAGAAAATATAAACAATATACATATGTATACCTATATAATATTTGATATAACATTAGTCTTGCAAGTTCGTATTTTTAGAAGAAAAATGAAGTGGAAAATTGAAGCTAAACATGGTTAGGAGTGACATTCGTCGGCGTCGGAATCGACGCCACCTTCCCTCCACGCTCCGACCGGCTGTTCTCGGCGAACTTGAGACTTCCTTGGTGCATACCTTTCTGCTTCTCCTCCTCAGTCCACTCAGAGACATAGTAATGTTCTTCGCTACCTTTGACATCGTCATTACTAGGTGGCAAAAACATGCTCCCCCATTGTGGGAAGTGAACCAAACTCACCGGAAGTGTACAACATATGATCATGACACCCATATACGACAACCCTTTGGCTGTTGAGAATTGTGAGTTTGCAAAGAAGATTAATTGGGTTAGACCAGAACCAAAGTTTCCTCCTGCTCCTGTCATGCCGGAGATGATACCAAGTGACCGGCGGGAAATGAAGGGGATGATGCCGAATGTTGCACCACATGCCGCCTGAGCTCCGACGGAAAACAGGATCATGAAGGTGATGGCTAACGGTAAGGAGTTGACTAAACCTAGGCAGAGACAGAAAATGCCGCCCGCGGTCTGGAGGAGCCATAGGTTCCAGAGACGGCCACGCATTCCCCATTTTTTGGCCATGAAATCCGATGTGAATCCTCCGAATGGTCGAGCAACGATGTTTGCCATTCCGAAGACGGCCGCAACGATTCCGGCAAGGTGAAGCTTTAGATCGAACCTGTAAATGGTTTTGTTATTGGTGATTACAAGGGACAGAAAGATCTAGGCCTAAAATAAAGAATCATCCTAGAACATATAATACTTAAGTTCATAGGACCAAACCTAAAAATTTTGTATCTAAAAGTATTACAATAGGTAAATAGGACGTTTAACAAGTTTTTTAGGACGCTCTTGAAATAAAGTGTCATGTTAACTATTTTACATGACATAAAAAGATGGTTTATACGACATTTCTCGAAAGTTATCTGTAAATAGCTAATATGACACTTTATTTTAAAAATATCCTAAAAAAACTTGTTAAAACGACTAAAAACGTCCTATAAACCTATTGCAACGTCTTTACATATCACATTTTATATTTAACAAACCTGTCATAGAAGTACTCAGCGATGACATTGTCAATGGTTAATTCGACCCCCATAGAGTACCCGTAAAGAAGTACAAAGATCCATGTCCTATAATTCGTCACAGCGTACCATAAAACCTGAAATCAAGATCCCAATCATAATCAAAATCAAATTAAACCAAATGATAATTTCTTAAAGTTTCTTGTTTTTCCAGTAATGGCCGATCTGAATATACCTTGCCAAATTTATCTTTAGCGACATTACCCTTCTTCTGAAGAGCACCCAGATTACCATCTGGCAAATCTTGACCAAGAGTTAACACCAATATCCCCATGATCACATTAAGCCATCCGGGTATAAAAAACGCGATCCTCCACGCGGTGAACGGCGTTGCCCCCGCCTTCTTGATAATCTCGAATAAAACCGGCATCAGGAGCTGCGTGGCACCGCCCCCCATGTTGCCCCACCCGGCTGCGGTTCCATTCACCAACCCAATGATCTTACTGTTAAACATCGTACTCATCCAATACTGGCAAGAAACAAAGGTCGCTAACGAGAACCCTATCATGAACCTCACCGCGATGTAGCCACTCGCGTCTTCCACGAACGACATGCAAAACACCGTCGGAGCAGACAGCATGATGAGGAAAGCGCATCCGTAACGAGGTCCCAACATATCGCAGACGGCACCCATAACAAGCCTGGAGAAAATGCTGCCGGAAACGGAGGCAACACCGGCGTTTCCGATGTCGGATTTGGTGAGATTAAGGTTGTCACGGATGATGGGGACGAGCGGAGCGGCGGCGAAGGTGGAGACGAAGGTGGTGAAGAAAGAGAGCCATGAAAGGTGGAAGGTTCTCATGTGAGGCTTTGCTAAGGAGAAAAGCTTGAAGACCTTGGCTTTGTGTTCAGAGTCCACCGGAAGATCAAATTTTGCGGTGGAATCAGTGGGAACCATTGGAGACGCAACGGAGAATGCCAACACCGGCTCCCGTCCGGTGACTCCATGCATGGAAGTCCCCGGAGATCCTTCAATTTCAGGCATTGATGATTATATATAAATTGTCTTCCACACAGTACTGTGTGAAACGGTTTCTTTGCTGAATTGTTGATATATTTTCTTGAGTGAGGAGGAAGTGTTTATATAAGCGAATGACAGACCCATCTTGGAAATGCTGTAGGGAGTTGTGCGGTACAAGTAGATGATGCATGGATTTGGATCTTTATGTGAATTGGGAGATGTGTAATGGATTTAGGGTTTACAGCGTTGACAAGTGAGGAAGGTGAGCAGCCAGTGGAGATTCCCAAAAGGTTAAAAGGGAATCCTATTCGCCGCATCCAACTCGTCGAATATCCCAAAGGATGACCGCAAGCCTTTTTTTTTTCTTTAATTTTGCTTAAAATGGTAAAACTACTGTTGTAACAAATTATTTGATAAAAAATTTAAAAAATAATTTTATACATAAAATATTATCTATTGATATATATTATTTAAAATTCAAGATTACAAGTAATTTTACGTAAGTATAACTTATTAAATCTTCATTTTTAAATTCGTGTAACTAATTAACTGCAGGTAAATATAATCAAATACAAGATAAACATCAATTTTAGATATTAAAAATCTAAAATATAATTAAGATAATCATTGAGTTCTAACGCAATATTTAATTATTAATATTATAAAAAATTATATTGTTAAATCAAAAATAAATTACTTTGTTATTAAATCTAAATTAAATTATAATCAAAAATTGAATTAAAGAAGTTACATAAAAAAACGAGAACTATTAAATAATTAATTTAATATTAATATCGATTTAATTTTTTTTCAAATTTTTATGTTATCTTTAGATTTATATTTCATTTAAAAATAAAAACATTTTCGATTTCCCAAACCACATAAAATCGTTTTATATCGATAGAGACAAATAATAAAAACTAAACATTAAACTCAAGATTTATCTCATTACATTACACGAGTATCCTTCTAGTTATCTAAAATTATTTTTTCTAAGTAATTCTTAATAATTTGGCAAACCCTAATTTAATGGTATGGTTAATTGTTATATTCGATGTTTGTTATTCTACTCTACCTATCTCATTTCTTAGCAAGCAAAATACACGTTTAGGAACGATTTGAACGGAATTTTCAAGATTCTTATGATATCAAATACCATTTGCATTGTAAATACCATTTTTTTGTTCGATTCTTTTTCATAAATCTTGTGAAAATGTTTGGAATCTTATCATACTATTTTTTATAAAAAGAGTAAAAGGTTGTTTCTTTATCTCTTAATAGTTCCATTAAGATGCAACATTTGAATCGTTAAAAGTTGAATCTTATTTGACAAAAAAAAAATATGTCTCTTAATGATTTTGTATCACGAACCTCACTTAACCATTAAGCGCTCTAATTTCACTGTAAATAATTACTAAACAATTGTATTTTATTTTACATTATATCATTCTGCATCAAATCATTCGATAACTATTAACTGATATAAAATTTTAACATTGAATACATTAAATATGTTGTAATAATAATAATAATAATAAAATATAAAAATTCCACAATTTGGTTGGACCACGAGGGTGCATAAATTAGGAGGAGACAAATCTGGTTTACTTTAAAGACTTTATGCAAGCAGACACTTGCATTTAAAGACTTTTTTTTTCATTTAAGAAAAAATAGATTCATAAATTCATTCTTTATTTATACTTTATTTATTTATTTATTATATATTATTTTCGTCATTATTCTTATAGTTTTTGCTTACCCAAGCACCATTTTTTAATTAATTCATCAATTTTTTTATTGTAAAAAATCATCAACAGACCAACAAAATACACGACACACAATCATAAACAGAAAAACATATATATTTAATAAATGGTTTTTTTTTTAATAAAACGAGATGCACAAATGCACAAACGGTGGATCCACGATTTTTGTCGAGCGGTTGTGCCTTTAAGTTTGATCAAACGCCTGCAAACTCGTGCAATCGGTGTTTTTAGTAGAATTCTATTTTTTTTTTTTTGAAGAGTTTTTTGGTTGATAATATCCCGGAGCACCCCTCAAAATTCAATCTGTACATATTTTTCATACCTTAAAAAATCTATATGCTAAAATCGGTTGAGGGTGTAGCACTATAATCTTTTGGGAAAATCAGTATATATAAATGTACACAAGTTATATACAACGGGTAAAACATGAATTTACGAATAGATGATACCGAATTTTTAGTCAAAAAGAGACTCCATGGGAACCTTCATAGGTTCCCCCATACATGTTGTCTGCCGACTCACAAGTCCAACCCGATATCCTTTTTCCAAATAACATATGTTTGATCAAATTATTAGTCATTTGTTAAATTAATTATATGCATTAGTATTTACGTAAATATGTATATATGATATAAGTTCATAATTAATATACTTAAATTTAACTTATGGATCTGTAAGTATTTTACTATAATAAAATTGATTTTATAGGACGTCTAAAATGAAAAAGCGTTTTAAAAGAATATTTTATAGTACACAAGTTTATATGATCGAATCAAAAAGCGTTGAAATTAAAAATGTTACAGTAAGTTTATAGAATGTTTTTAACTGTTTTTTTAAGTTTTTTTATGACGATTTTGAAAGAAAGTGTCATGTTAATTATTTCATATAACATTTTTTAGAAATGTCCTATAAACTCATATTTTTATAGGACAATTTTGTTTATAGGGTATTTTTTAAATAGTGTTGTATAAAAGAGTTAAAGTGTCTTAATAAATTTGTTAAAACACTTAAAAACGTCCCATAAATTTATTGCAACACTTTTAAATAGAAATTCTATTTATTAACCTGGATATCCAACCCGCTATGCGAGCCGACTAATCCCAAGGCGATCACCTGCTTTACACAGTATTTAACTTTTATTCTCACACGATCCTTCGTTTATATATATATATATATATATATATATATATATACACATACACACACATACACACACACACACACATATATATATATATATATATATATATAGGTGGAGGTTCAAACGAGAACCCATGTGATTTACGAGAACGCGAGAACAACCCAATAACCTCAAACTTTTTTAATTAATAAATTAACTTTTATTATATATAAATAATTTAATAAGGACAATAATGTAATTAAGTAATTTTTTATAATTTTTATTTTATTTTAATTAACCATAATTATATTTTCACGTTCCACGTTTTTCTCTTGGTAGTTATCTTTTTCTCCTTCGTTCATGATAATCTCCATGGCTTAACATCTTTTCTTCATATCACACCTCTATCACATAAGTATCACACTCATATCATATGATTATCACACTCATATTTTATGATTATACCAAAATTTTAACTT